TTTTTTTTTTTTTGAAGAGGTTTTTGCCATGGGGCACATGCGCTCACCAGACAGAGACAGAGAGACAGAAAGCGAGAAATCACTCCCCAGGGGGGATGGCCACTCCGCAATCCCTTCTCCTCCATTCCCCTCTCGGGATCTTGAGCATGCACACACACGCGCCCGGCGTGAGTCTTAAGCCACCGGGTCCAGGACGCAAACCGTGGTCCACTACTTGGGAGTCTAGCGACATAGCCATTACGCTAACTGCTGGTCCCTGTTCTTGTACAAACCTCTTCAAAGCCACCCACAGCTGCAAATGCACCCCTGATCCCACTTCGGTGGTCCCTGGAAATACAAAAGGTCCCACTGCCTTCCCTGAGAGCCGCCTGTAACACAAGGCCCTAGAAGGCTCCCGGGCATGAACACCCAGACTCTGACCTCAGAGGGGACAGACCTGCTCCCACATCATTGACAGCTTCCCTCCCCAAATATGACCCTATAACACCGCTCCCCAAAACGGCACTCTCTGTGCTACATCCTGCCCGTGGAGTGGTTCTGTTTGGCCCAGGGAGTTTGAAGGTTTTGTTTCTAGTTGCCCGCACTGAAAACCTGAGCGGTTTCACTGTATCTCCAGATGTTCTTGAGGAAATAAGAACTTTGGCAACACCCCCACAGGGCAAGAGTCAGCAGAAACTTTTTACTGGCTGCCCTGTCGCAGAAGACATGTGATCCCCAGTCCCCCTGTCCCCATTTGGTCTACCATGGGCACGTGGTTCTGTGACCCTTGACTGAGTTATGACAAAAAGGAAGACTTCAGGGACAGCAGATGGCATAATGGTATGTAACCCCACTGGACTCCCACTTAGTCAATAGCAGTTCAAGTCCCGGACCTGGCGACTTAAAACCCACACCGGGCACGTGTGCATGCATGCTGAAAATCCCAAGAGGAGAATGGGGAAGAAGGGATTGTGGCATGGCCATCCCCCACTGGAGGTGATTTCTCACTTTCTGTATCTCTGTGTCTCTCTGTCTCTCTGTCTCTCCAGCAAGTGCAAGCGGTGGAACAAAATTCTCTCTAAAAAAGGGAGAAAGGGGGACTTCTCAGATGTCCAAAGCATTTTTCCTTGGGATGTTTTACAGTGCCACCCAAATCTCCAATAAAATAAACACCTGGAACATCTGGTCTAAGGCACTCTTTAGGTCCTGTCTATGCCTCCAGCTGCAAAGAACATACATGAGGAGGTTCTCACCGCAGAGGCTACACTAGGGTAAGGGGCAATAGCCGAACTGGACCATGGGAGGGGAAGGCTCAGCCCCCAAAGCTAACACAACTGGCCCTGAGCAAAGGCCACAGAGCTTGCTGTTTCCACAGGGAGGACAGAGAGTCCAGCACAAGGTGAGGGGCCTACCTGATAGGCAAATATTCATCAAGCACTTACTTCAAGTTTGGGAAAAGAGACAGAGGCCCAGGAATAAAGCTAGGACCCCCACAGAAAACAAGCAAGTTCCTCACTTCAGTTCTCAAGATCTCTCCTCTCCTCACGTCCTCTACCCTCTATGCCCCTCAGACACTCTGCGTCTTCATATGAGACTTCTATCCATGGGTGTCCTTCCATGAGCAAAGGCAAAGTAGAATTTCAAGTGGCCAAAGGAAAGATTAGTCTGTCTTTCCTTCCTTCATCCCCAGATTCAACAGAGCCCACCCCACCTGGCTCCTGCAAAAACTCTGTTTATTGGGAACCTGTCCAATGGATGTCCAAGATGCCCACCATCCTTGAGGAAGAATTGACCCAGACAAGTCAACCCCTTGTGGGGGAGGTGGGTTGGTATGGCCCTTCCATCTGTCATACTAGGCCTTCTTCCATGTCCACCTTCTCTCCCACTGAATTCCAGGAGAAGGAGCATCAAACTCTTAGGATTCTATTCCTACTTGGTCTGGTCAAAGCCAACCCCTGAGAAATCCAGCTCACCAATCAGACATGACAAGTGCAGGTCAGAGGGTGGAGAGACAGGGTGAGGGAGGCCTATACCACCCCTCCCCAAACTGTCACTCTCTGTGCTATATCCTCCCTTTGGAGTGGTTTTGTTTGGCCCATGGAGTTGAAGGGTTCTGTCTTGAAGGAATTGCTACTCACAGCCCAGTGACCACCTGCTTGTCTCAAATAACAGTGTGTGATCACAGACACGTGTCTTCACCTCTCTGAGCCCTTCTCCATTGAACCTGGAATCAACTTAGATGTAATTCTTAGTCCAGTTATTTCTGTCTCCTTCTAACCCCTGACCCCAACACACACACTTACACACACACACACACACACACACACACACACACACAAGGACCTACAAACTGTCTCAAAAGCATAGTGTTGACATTATAGCAATGGATGAGTGGAATCTGAATCTACTACATTCCCATAGAATTGCAAGCTTTATCATGGAAAGTGAACACACTCAGGAGTCAGGGGATGCCCTTGTGGGTCTTCCTGAAAGCCCTGGTTCCAGACTTTTCCTTCTGGCAGGAACATTAGACATCATCACATCCCAATTCCTCACTTTAAGGGGCACCACTGAAGGCCCCTGAAAGTCAAGGGACTTTCCCCAGGAGATGCAGTGGCAAAGTCAGGTCTAGATCTCAGGTGTCCAGCTTCCCTACCCAGGACTCTTCCTGTGAGTGTCCCTACCCAGCCACCCACTCCCTGCAGCCCGGGTCTACTCACATATAGCGCAGGTGGGGGTTCTTGGCAAAGGCTCTGGGCTGGATGTTCCGAAGTCCTGAGTTCTTGATGGTCCTGGACAGAGAGGAAAAGAGGGTGAGCAGAACTTGGGGCAGGGGAACGTCTGCTCTGGGTTGAACTGGCAGGAGGTCAGGTCATGACCAGACTTGCCTCTCCCTTGCTGAGCATTTCAATCTCTTCAATGCCAATCCCCATGGCTAGCCCAGCTGGGGATGCTCAGTGAACCATGTCTGGGCTGGTACCCCACAGACACCTAGTGAGACCTGGGGTTGAGTGGACAGTGCTGGCAGTGCCCCTTCCATCCTGGCCAGTGGGTAAAAGTGTGTGTGGGGGGGGGGGGGGGGGTGCTCCCGCCCCCGCACGCA